CTGTCTGTCTGTCTGTCTGTGTGTGTGTGTGTGTCTGTCTGTCTGTCTGTCTGTCTGCCTGCCTGCCTGCCTGTCTGTCTGTCTGTCTGTCTGTCTGTCTGTCTGCCTCTGTGTGTGTGTGCGCCTCTCTGCCTGCCTTCCTTCCTGTCTGCCTTCCTGTCTGCTTGTGTCTGATTGGTGTTCGCGTGCGTACGCACATGCTTGCTGCCGTCTTTCTGCCACTGCTCCGTCAGTTGCAAACTGGCCACGTCTTGTTCTGTGATGCGTGCACCCATGACCGCCTTCTCCCTGCCTGGTCTGCCATGGCGCCATTCACTCACCCACACCCGCCTATGACGCTGTTGTTGTTCTTCTTCCTCTGCAGCGGAAGTATCTTCCGGCCATCTTGCAAAGATGAAGAAACGCCTCTTCCGTCGCATGGCTGCATCGTCAACTTCCCCAAAGGCAAAACAACAACAACAGCAGCAGAACAAGAACAAGAACAAGAACAAGAGAGCAGGAGACACGACGACCTCCCAGCAGCAACAGAAACAAAGCAGGCCGCGAGCCACAGGCGCACGTGCGCCATCATCATCATCATCATCATCCAGCAAGCCACGCACACCAACGAAGAGGAAACCAGGCTCAGCGTCGCGAAGCAAGAAGTCCATCACAAGAACGCCGACCAAGCAAGCCAGCCCCGCCAAGAAGACAGCCGCTGGCCCTCCAACAAAACCAAAGCCTGCAACAGCACCGAAACCTGTGGTGGCGACAAATGGACGACAGGAGCATTCGGCAACAGCATCCGGTGTTGAACGGGAGCCGTCGCGTGATCGCGTGCTCTCCATTGCAGCAAAATTCGAGGCACTCACCACCACCGCTGCTACCACCGCATAGCCACTGTGGCGTCTTTTGTTTGTGTGTGTGTGTGTGTGTGTGTGTGTGTGTGTGTGTGTGTGTGTGTGTGTGTGTGTGTGTGTGTGTGTGTGTGTGTGTGTGTGTGTGTGTGTGTGTGTGTGTGTGGGTGTGTGTGTGGGTGGGTGGGTGTGACGGGAGGACTTTCTGTACCTCCATTCATTCAACTGCCGTTATTTCCTGCTTTTTAGCGTTGCTTGTGAACATGTGTTCCTGGCACTGTGTTGGATTTACTTCCTTGTACACCCTCTCTCTTCTCTTCTTTCTGCCCTTGTTTTGCTCGTTGATCGACTCTGCAACACGTGGCGTGTTCCTTGGATTGTACAATACCCCATGCAAATGGACCGGCCAATTGCTTGCCAAGAGGTGGTGAGTTGCGCGCTCACAAGTTGTCTCGCATCACATCGTTTAATACTCAGCGGTTCCACCGCACACACACACACACACACACACACACACACACACACACACACACACACACACACACACACACACACACACACACACACACACACACACACACACACACACACACACACCATCCATTGCAAGGAGAAAATAGGAGGGGGGTTGCATCGGGCTGCGTCAGCTGATGTGATTATGGGCCCACGTGACCATCGCCATCGCCACCACGACCACCACCAATCAATCAATCAACAACTCACAGCATGCTTTGCTCCATGGTGCATTGCACTCATTGGTTGCGGCGGCGCCGGTGATGATGATGGTGGTGGTATTGGTGAGAGGGAGTTTCGGTGTGTTTAGGAGGTGGTCCAGTCCTTCTCCAGCGTCATGCGCTCAGAGACCTCCCGTGCGTGGCTCTTGAAGAACTCGGCCATCTTGGCCAGTGCGCGTCCGCGGTGGGAGATGGCGTTCTTTGCATCGCTCTCCATCTCCGCATATGTGGTGTGAAAGCCGTCGGGCTGGAAGACGGGGTCCCAGCCAAAGTGGGTCGGCCCGCGCGCAGGCACAATCTGCATGGTGGGGGTTGGGGGGTTGGTGGTATGTTGTGGTGGGAGGTGAGAGCGTGTGAGATGCGTGAAGTGCGCGAGATGCACGATGTGTGTGAGGAGTGAGATGCATTTGTATGATTGTTTATGTGTGATGATGATGATGGTGGTGGTGGTGGTGGTGGTGGTGGTGGTAGTGGTGGAAGATGTTTGTGAGCGGTTGTGTGGCTGTGTGGCTGTGTGTGAGCCTGCGCTGGTGGTGGTGACACTGCTGCAGCACCTTGCCGTCGGTCCTGCCGATAAAGAGGAGGGGCTCCACGCCCTCGCCGGGCTGGAAGGCAAAGATGCACTGTGCATATGCGGTCTTGTCATCAAAACCGGCCAGCATCTTGTTCAGGCCATCGTGGCCAACGCCCTTCAAGAACCACCTGTGCAGTGGCGGCAGCAGCAGTCAACACTCTGAAAATGAGGCCATGCCACTTGCCGCGTTCGTGCGCAATTCACGCACACACATACACACACTTGTACGTGTGTGCATCAGGGCAAGCGAGTGTACACGTGTCTGTGGAACGCACTTGATGTAGACGCCGGGCAGGCCACCAAGGGCGTTGAAGCAGAGGCTGGTGTCTTCAACGATGACGGGTGTTTTGACCTGCACGCCGTGTCATGCAGTGTTGGTGTGAGCAAGGCTTACATTCAGGAACGCGCATTAAAACACACACACACACACATACACACACACATACACACACGTGCGCGCAGCAGCTACACAATCACTTCCACTCACACTCACATGCACACAACACAACACACATACATATCATTTACACAACTCAGCAAGTACAAGCAGATCAGATTGCGCACCTGCTGGTAAGCGGCCTTGCACTTCTCAGCGGCGACGTGTGCGGGATCGCCCTGATATTCGGGAAGATCCACAGCCACGTTCTGCAGCTGGAACATAAAGTCATCGCCCACAATCTGCTGCACCTCCTGCTCCAC